CTCCCTCCCTCTCTCCCATGTGCTCTATCTACGTTCGTATCTGAGGTTTAGAGCGCTTAGAGTTTGGGCCGTCAGTTCAGGTTTGTTCGACAGTTAGCTGCTTGATCATCCCCATAGCCCACCATAGCCCTGAAACATAATCAGATAGGGTTTAGGGTTTAGGGTTTAGGGTTTAGGGTTTAGGGTTTAGGGTTTAGGGTTTAGGGTTTAGGGTTTAGGGTTTAGGGTTTAGGGTTACCTCTGCGTAGATGTCTGTGGAAGCAAACAAGAACACTGAGCCCACTAAACCCTAATATGGGGAGCTAGGACAGCTGCCATCCAGATACAAATACACCGCAAACAAACCCAACACAGCCTGCGCCCTAAGGCCTAAGGCCCTAAACTCTAAACCCAGAACCCAGCATCCAAAACCCAGAACCCCAAACCCAAAACCCAAAACCCAAACCCTGAACCCAAACCCTGAACCCTTACCCAAAACCCTTAACTTAACCCTCAACCCAGAAGCCTAATCCCTAAACTCAGAACCCTAAACTCGAAACCTGAAACCCTAAACCCTAAACCCTACTAAACTCGAAACCTGAAATACACACCCAAAACCCAAAACCCCGCGCGTTGTAGTCCATCGTCTGAAGCCGGTCTGACTTTGCCTCGAACTCAAAGAATCTAGGGTTTAGGGCGTAGGGCTTAGGGTTTAGGGTTTAGGGTGAGGCAGGCTTGGGGCTTGGGATTTCAGGGTCTAGCGGTTTCAGGGGCTCAAAGGCTTGGGGTGTCAGGGTTTAGGGTTTAGGGTTTAGGGTTTAGGGTTTAGGGCTTCAGGGGTTTCAGGGCTTGGGGGTGTGGGGGCTCAGGGACTCGGGGGTTCTAGAGTCTTGCGGCTCAGGGGCTTAGGATTTCTAGCACTGAGGGTTTAAGGTTTAGGGAGGGTTTAGGGTTTAGGGTTTAGGGTAGGGTTTAGGGTTTAGGTTTAGGGTTGTTTTTTTTTGCGACGAGGAGCACACCCTCACCCTCGGCCGAAAACCTGCCCTCAACATGAGACGGAAAACCCCTCCCACCGAATGAATTCCTATGTAGGCCTTATCCGGATATAAAAGGAAACTGAGTACCCCTAAAAGGAAACACAAACTCTGTCAAGCATGGGATGGCCATACCCTAAACCCTAAACCCCAACCCCTAAACCCCAACCCCTAACCCCGAACCCCGAAACCCTAAACCCTAAACCCTAAACCCTAACCCCACGCTTTTTGCCCAGGCGACCACAGCAAGGACCACCCGCAGGCCCTTGCTGATGTAGACCTCCTTCAGGTACTTCGCAATCCTGACGAACATGTGCACCCAGACCCTTGGGAGCCCTAACCCTAAACCCTAAACCCTAAACCCTAAACCCTAAACCCTAAACCCTAAACCCTAAACCCTAAACCCTAAACCCTAAACCCTAAACCCTAAACCCTAACCTCTCAGGTGCTCTAGCCTCTTGGCAGCCCTAATCTAAGGGTTTAGGGTTTAGGGCTTAGGGTCAGGGTTTAGTTTTCTAAGGGTTTGGGGTCCTAAGGGTAGTTTCATGGGCCCTTATTATTATGGTCCCTAACCTCCTTTAAAGCGTTCTGATGTTATGGGCCCTTAAAAGGAGTATATAAGGGTACCCTTTAAGGGCCCATACTAAGGACCATGTCACTACCGTAGACCTAAACAGCCCCACCCCCACCCTCAATGTAGGGGACTAGCGCGACAGCTTCGAGCTTTCACATTTGGTAGGTTGCCGAATGTGGGGGTCCCATGTAGGGTATACCTACTGCAACACGGGCTCCGATATGTAGGGCGTCGCAAAAAAGAAGGAAGTTCTCAACTGACATGTTGCACTCACAATCTTACAACTATGTGGCCTGGAAAGAAACCGGCACCCCAAACCCGAAACCACAAACCCTAAACCGTCCCTAGATTCCGCACCGGATACCATTCCAGAGACTGACATCTATGGAGAACGGACCCATGCTTCCCGTCAGCTGCACACGGGGTTCTCTAGGTTTCAGAACTTTACCTAACAACCCTGAACCCTTGCTCCCCGGTGCCCCTATGAACCCTAAACCCTCACACCCGAGCCCTATACCTCCAAAACCCTAAACCCTAAACCCTAAACCCTAAACCCTAAGCCCTAAACCCTAAACCCTAAACCCTAAACCCTAAACCCTAAACCCTAAACCCTAAACCCTAAACCCTAAACCCTAACCCTAAACCCTAAACCCTAAACCCTTCACAGAACCAAGCGGCTTCACGTCATCTGCCGTCACGCCCTTAGTGCTGTCGACGACGAAGATGGCGGCTGCGGACTCGCGCAGCGCGACGTCTATCCTGAGCGGGCGCGACTCGACAGGTCTAAAGGGTTTTTACGATGCTTTTAGGGTTAGGGTTTAGGGTTTAGGGTTTAGGGTTTAGGGTTTAGGGTTTAGGGTTTAGGGTTTAGGGTTTAGGGTTTAGGGTTTAGGGTTTAGGGTTTAGGGTTTAGGGTTTAGGGTTTAGGGTTTAGGGATTCTTTTTTGTTGATTTATTGCCTGCATGGTCTGTGCTTATCACCCAAGGTTTGCTCTCAAAAGGTGGACTTGAGGTGACAAAAAGGTTGCGTGTACTGGCAGGTGGTGCAGCGTAGGGGCTCCAGGATTCCAGGGTTACAGGGTTGAGGGCTCAGGGTCGCCCTAAACCCTAAACCCTAAACCCTAAACCCTCAACCCTGAACCCTGAACCCTAAACCCTGTACCCTAAACCCTAAACCCTAACCCTAAACCCTAAACCCAGTTGGTTGGGCTCTAAATCCTGAAGGTCTATGGCGATGGCAGGTTTCTCGATCTCGAGGGCCCTGACCCCAAGCCCCAGGATTTAGAGTTTGCGGTAAGGGTTTAGGGTTTAGGGTTTAGGGTTTAGGATTTAGGGTTTAGGGTTTAGGGTTTAGGGTTTAGGGCTTAGGGCTTAGGGCTTAGGGTTTTAGGGTTTAGGGTTGACTCAACCCCTCAGGGTTCAGGGTTTAGGGCTTAGGCTTTTGCAGTGGCAGGGTGTGTTGTGGATTCGTGGGCTTATAAGGGTTTAGGGTTTAGGGTGTAGGGCTTCAGGGTTTATGGTTTAGGGCTTCAGGCTTTGCGGGTTTCAGGGTTTCAGGGTTTAGGGTTTCAGGGGCTCCGGAAGTGTAGGGAGTCACGCGCTTAGCGGAGAGATCCAGACCCTAAACTCTTCACCCTGCCCGAGGCTTCTTAGGGTTTAGGGGCTAGGCTTCACGGAATATAGGGGCTGAGGGCTAAACCCTAAACCCTAAACCCTAAACCCCAAACCCTAAACCCTGAACCCTGAACCCTAAACCCTAAACCCTAAACCCTAACAACCCAGTTTCCAAACCAAAAGATTAAAACAAAAAAACGAAGGAAGCCCAGTAGCTGATGCCGGATCTCCCTCTCGAAGCGGATCCTCATAGCCGAGGCACAGGGGTTTAGGGTTTAGGGTTTGGGGTTTAGGGTTTGGGGTTTAGGGTTTAGGGTTTAGGGTTTGGGGGGGCTCAAGGCCTCCCACCCCACGCCCTCAACACAGCCAATTTCAAGAATCTTGGGTTTAGGTTTTAGGGTTTACCGTTAATAGAGGGTCTAGGGACCCGCACCGCAAATCCAAACTGAAAACCCCATGACCTGGACGGGAGTACCTCGAAAGTTGATGGGGGAAGACACTCGAGAGAATGTTGTGTGTTGGGCCGCATTGCTGAGAAGCTTCCTGATCTTCCTGGTTAGTTAAACCCTAAACCCTAAACCCTAAACCCTAAACCCTAAACCCTAAACCCTAAACCCTAAACCCTAAGGTTTAGGGCCCTAAACCCTAAACCCTAAGGTTCTTAGAAGGGGACCAGGGCTTCTTACAGGAGGTTGGGAAACATACCCTCAACCACACCCAACCACCCGTCAAAAGAGAAACTGGCCGAAGCCAACTCGACAGACCACAAAGCGCGAAGCCGCACAATGACCTGGGCCACAATGCAAGCCACTAAGCCTAAACCCCAAACCCGAACCCCCACCCCCACCCCCCCCCCCCCCCAAGCTATCCCCAAAAGGCCGAAGCCCAAAACCCTAAACCCTAAACCCCCAAATCCCTAAACCCTAAACCCCAAAAAGCCCCAAAAGCCCACCCTCAACTCACGAAGCCGTCTTACTTAGGGGTAGTAATATAGGGATCATTCTTTGCTCATTAATTTGGGGTTCTTAAGCAAATAGAAGCGAAGCCCCTTGGCCATGGCACCCCTTCCGACTTTCGTCGAAGATGAGGCCACCCGCGTCGATGAGGTCGAACAAGTACCTCAACAAAGGAAAGGGGTAAGTTTAGGGCTTAGGGTTTAGGGTTTCGGGTTTAGGGTTTCGGGTTTAGGGTTTAGGGTTTCGGGTTTAGGGATCATAGGGTTTAGGGTTCATAGGGTTTAGGGTTTAAGCTTTATGGGGCTGAAGGCCTCAATGGCTTCGGGCTTAAGGCATAGGGAGGTGTAGGGATGTTTAGGGCTCTCGATTGAAAACTACATGGACGGCAAAAGGGTTTACGGTGCATATACGGTTTCGGGTTTAGGGTTAAGGGGTTAGGGTTTAGGGAACATCGTACTACAGGCCACAGGATCTTCGAAACGTTGCGAACATGGACGTTAAACTTGAACCCCAAACTGACCCAAAACAGCAAGCCCTCAACCCCAAACCCACGTTTGTCAATAGTCTCAAGCGCCTCATGAGGGTTTGGGGTTTAGGGCTAGGGTTTGGGATTTGCGGTTTAGAGAAAAACAAGGGTTTAGGACACAGAGTTCAGGTTCAACCGTCTGCTGCAACATGCCTACCTCCCGCAACACTCTCAATGGTAAGCTCTCATGCAAAAGGTGAACCAACTCGTGAAATTGACCTTGCAACATGCTCTTTGAAACATACTGACTCTGCATTCTGCCAGTCAGCGGAACTGAGGCAGCAATCGCAAAAGAATTATGTACATCCTACTTAGCGCTAGATTCTCAAGCACTCGCGGCCCCGCGTGCCGGACACATGGACATCAAGAAACCGGTCCTCGCGAATTGAGCCGCGTATGCGTGAGTGCAGTTGCGTCCAGAATGGCATCTTCATGTCTACGGAAGCAGTGAAGCATGGCCCGCCAGTGTAGTTGGCGGGCGTGCTGCTCGAAGCATACCGCACGCACGAAGTCGCCATGTTGTCGACGACGATGTGGAGATTGAAGATGCGCGCGTAGACTGTGGCTACCTTGAAGAGACTGGAGGCGTAGCAGCCGTTGTCCAGGGTGCAAAAGCCTCCTTTCAACAACTTCCAGATGCTGCAGGTGTAGGTACCGGTGCTCTGGGCATAGGCCACCTCCGCCTGATAGACTTGTGCAAGGACGTATCGCGCAGGCCACCTTGCATACCAACTGAACCCCACAGATGGGGTCATAAGAAGCCTATACCCTAAACCCTAAACCCTGAACCCTAGACCATAAGCCCGTGTATAGAGTGTGTGGACCATATTCTTTCAGGGTTCATCTCATTCCCAAGGCACTCCACATTCCCACAGAGATCTTCTCCCTCCGCACCTGCAAACCTAGGTCAGCGTTTAGGGTTTAGGGTTTAGTGTTTATGGGTTTTTGGGTTTTTGGGTTTTTGGGTTTTTGTTTTTTTTGGTTTTTTTGGGGTTTTTGGGTGGGTTCAGTGGCCTGCAAAGTCATTGGGGTGACTTATAGCTAGGGCCCCCGATGGTAGTTCTTCCATACTTCGCATTCATCGAGTAAGAAACTTGGCATCCTAAAGCTCCGTCACAGGAAGGCTTGTTGTGGCCGAGTCGACATAGGGCTTTGGAAAACCTGGTCAGAGGACTCTAGATTACTACTACCCTACTGGCCGTCATGGGACTCTCATGTACCGCCATTCACCCCACACCCCTACATCCTTGCACTAAACCCTAAACCAACCCTATATAAACCCTAACCCCCAAACCCTACCTCTGAGGTCTCTCTTTAAGGTCAGCCCTGAGCCCCGTCTCTAGCACCTTAGAAAGGCCCCAGCAACTGCAGGAACCCGAAGGTGTCGGGGTTGTGCATGTAGCGGTGTCCGCCCACAGGCTGCCAGACCCACCTGATGCAAGGGTTCATGGTCCACATGCCTTAGGGCTTATAGGGTTTAGGGTTTAGGGTGTAGGGTTTAGGGTTTAAGGTCTCCGATATCCCTAAACCCTACACCCCGAGTTGTATGCCTTAGGGCTTATAGGGTTTAGAGCTTAGCGTTTTCGGTGTAGGGTTTAGGGTTTAAGGTATCCGATATCCCTAAACCCTACACCCCCAATTGTAGGGTTCATTTGGCACCCAAGGCGCTCCCAGTAGCAGCTCCACTGGTCGGCGCCCAGTAGGGTAGGTTGGTCCTGCGCACGGCTTTCAGGAACTTACAGAATAAGGCCTACTAATCCCCATAGCCAACCCTATAAAGGGCCGTCCTAAGGGGCTATAGGGTATAATGGCCCATCCTGAAAATTCATCAAGAAGTTTGTCTCACATTGCCTGACAGGGATTGGTAAACCCTATAAACTCCGAAACAGGGAACCTCTCTTGGGGATGATAGTGGTAGCACGGGCTAGACTATGCTCCCAAATTTCAGGGATCACTTGGCCTCACGGAAGGTCCCGAAAATTCCCGGAACCTTGATCATCAGGAACAAAAAGAGGCAAGTTACCACACAGCGCCGTTCATCAAGACGTGTTAGTAGTACATGTATCCTATGGGGCAGATTGTTTCTGAAATTCGGGATGGATGCTGGCTGAGCGTCGGGTTTTTGACGACTTGTGCTTCTAAGATCTCAACCGTAGCCTAAACTCGGAACCTTAAACCCTAGTGACACCCGAAAGGGCCTTCTGGATGGACGGACAAAGCTGGCCGAACAGGGAGGCGTTCGAGGTGAAGAAGGGATGCTCCGCCCGGGAGAAGTCTGCTGACCAATACTTTGCGCCCGCGTTTGGGTCATACCGCGACGGGAGCGAAGTGCCGTTGCCCGCTGAGAGCAAGCCGCCAACACCGTCACCTTGGTAGCCCCAGTAACCGTACAGGGGTTTACGATACTAGGGGTTACCTTATAAATATTGGGATCCTTATTAAAAGGGCATCCTACTATTCGGGGGTTTATATTCGGGTACCTTACTATCGTAAACCACCATGTTATTATGAGGGTGCCCTTTTTGGGGGGTTGATTACTTTTTATAAGGGAACCCAGGACCCAGGTTTAGGGTTTAGGGTTTAGGGTTTAGGGTTTAGGGTTTAGGGTTTAGGGTTTAGGGTTTAGGGTTTAGGGTTTAGGGTTTAGGGTTTAGGGGCAAAAGGGCAGCACTCAGCTACCAAGTCGCGGGGGTGCAGAGGAAAGGCGATTTCCACCTTGGTTGAGGCAGCAATCCAGGCCTCGAAACCCGAATGCACCCTAAACTTGGGATCACATTTAGGCAGTTCTCTACAGTAACCCCGAAATACACTCTAAACCCTAAACCCTAAACCCTAAAATCTTAAGCCCTAGACCCTACCCCGAAAAGATTTTGGGGTACCCTAAATACTTGGGGCCACCTTATGATAAGGACCCCACAAGGGACCAGACTTTAGAGATGTGACCATATGCCCCGTCTACTAACCCTAGCACTTCTGGACCTGAAACGCTTCTAGGGTTTAGGGTTTAGGGTTTAGGGTGTGGGGTTTAGGGTTTTAGGGTTTTAGGGTTTAGGGTTTTAGGGTTTAGGGTTTAGGGTTTAGGGTTTAGGGTTTAGGGTTTAGGGTTTAGGGTTTAGGGTTTAGGGTTTAGGGTTTAGGGTTTTGGGTTTAGGGTTTAGGGTTCAATGACTCTCTCAAAGGGAGGGCTGAGGGCTGGCATGATCCTTCAGAGGAGCGTAAGTTCTACCATGCAAAGTTTCAGAGAAGCCACGTGCCCATATCCTAGCTACCCTCCTTTACCTTTAAGGGCCCATGTACCCGTGCAGCTGCTACTCGGACACCTGTAGGAATGGAAAGGGTGCAAAAGGCTTTATAGTACTTTATAGGGAAACCAAAGCCCTAAAAACAAGGGGAATAAGGGCCTACCCCGGGTCCTAGTTATTTAAGGCCCCAAATATGTACTCTACCATGGTGGTACATGAGTTCGCATTAAGGGTTTAGGGCTTACAAGAACTAATAAGCGGGCAGGGCTTTTAATTCAAAACCCTACGGGGGCAAACAAACAAAGAAAAAAACTGCCCACACACTACGCGCCCTAGCGCCAAAAGCCTGAAAAGCCCCTGTAAACCGTGGATGCTGACAGGCACTGACAGGCTTTAGGGTTTCAGGGTTTAGGTGCAGGCGTTCCGGGCTCGGGGTACCCAAACGCGTACCCAAAGTCGAACCCTAAACCCTAAACCCTAAACCCTAAACCCTGTATGCTTCCCAAGCACAGTCCATCCCTCTGTGGCCCAGCCTTGCGCTCTGGCAGTGGCTGTTCGCATGTTGGGATACATCCTTGAGCTGAGCCCTAAACCCTAAACCCTAAACCCCAAACCCCAAACCCCAAACCCCAAACCCTAAACCCTAAACCCCAAACCCTAACCCTAAACCCTAAACCCTAAACCCTAAAACCCTGTAAAGGGGGTGTGGTGTTAAACATTTTCGGGGCTTAAGGGGTTACAGGCCCGGTCAGCCCTTAGAAGCGCTATGCCGGGTGCCGAGGAGTCCATGACTTTAGGGTTTAGGGCTCAGGGTTTGGAATTAGGGTTTAGGGTTTAGGGTTTAGGACTAGGGTTTAGGGTTTAGGGTTTAGGGTTTAGGGTTAGGGTTTAGGGTTTAGGGTTTAGGATTAGGGTTTAGGGTTGAGGGGTTTGGGTTTCAAAATAACTCTAAACCCTAAAACCCTGAAACCCTAAAACCCTAAAACCCTAAAAACCCTAAAGCCCTAAAACCCTAAAACCCTAAAACCCAAAAACCTTAATTAGAACCCTGAAACCCAAAATCCCTAGAACCCAAAATCCCTAGAACCCAAAAACCCTGAAACCCTGAAACCCTAAAACCCTAAAACCCTAAAACCCTAAACCCTAAACCCTAAACCCTAAACCCTAAAGCGCACTGAAGAGGGAGCTGGCATCGACCAGGATCCCCCAAAGGGCGGCCACGAGGAGTTCTGACAGAACCTGTGTTGAGGCATAAGTTTAGGGTTTAGGGTTTAGGGTTTAGGGTTTATAGACCCCTAGAAGGAACCCTTAGTCTTGTTTCCCTTTTATTCAAATCCCTGAGCCCCAGACCGAAAGCCCTACAACCCGACAATGACAAACAAAACAGGAGCGGGGACTAGGCTCGAGGGTTTCATGCCCCGAGGGCACCCTAAACCCTAAACCCTAACCCTAAACCCTAAACCCTAAACCCTAAACCCTAAACCCTAAACCCTAAACCCTAAACCCTAAACCCTAAACCCTAAACCCTATAAACCCTAAACTTTAAACTAAGACTTGAGAGGGAACATATGGTGGTGAACTACATTTAGGCCTCTGGCAGTACATGGGTCCGCCGGCTTGAGCCCCGGAAGCCCCTTGAGCCTTTTCAGCCCCTAAACCCTCAAGCACCCTAAACCCTAAACCCTAAACCCTAAACCCAACAGCCTAAACACTAAACCCTAAACCCTAAACCCCAAACCCCAAACCCTAAGCCCGAAAGCCTAAACCCTAAGCCCTAAACCCTAAACCCGAAGTCCTGACCCTAAACCTTAAACCCTAAACCCCAAAGCCTAAAGCCCTGCCTCTGACACGAAGGGTCCGTGATCGCACAGCAGGGCACGCCAACCGACCCTAGGCCCCCGTCTGGTACCTTGCGGGGGTTCAAAATGAACGGTTTCGGGTTTAAGTCTTACGGGTTTTGGGTCTGATAGGGTTCATACAGGGTTTATGGGGTCTGCCGGGTGTGTGGGGTTTATCGGTTTATAGCGTTTCCACAACGGTTTAGGGTTCATAAGGGTTTATACAGGGTTGATAGGGTTGGTTTCCCTATACCCAAACATGAATTCTCGTCTCAGTAGGTAGGGTAGATAACCCAATTTTGAGGTTCAAATGCTCCCAAGGTACACGCCACAGCACGTCATATGTCGCATTGTTGAAGTTCATTTCCTACAATTTTGTGGAGGCATATCACAGCCAATCCCAGTCTGTCAAACCTTATCTCGTTACCCATGTTTGACACGAAACGAGCACATACATTGCTGGCAGGTCAGGCAGGCGTCAAACTCCTTGTACCAGTGGTTTGTGCCGGCAACATCGATGAAGACCTCAAAGTCGTTGTCGTAATACCTTGGGATGTTGAGTCCCTTGTGCTGAGAGTCCTTAATGGGGATTGTAGTACCCCTACTATAATCCCTATCAAGGGCGTTTAGGTTAAAATCCCAAATAATACCTTGCAAAGCCTTCAAAAGCCCTACAATCTACTTGGGCCCTAGAGAGCTATGATGTAGGAACCCCCTAGAAAAGGCCCCAAGTATCTACTCCACAGGTTTATGGGGGTTTCCGAACTTGGGTGTCTTTTTAATCCCTTATTTCGTAAACCCCCATTTGGACCCTTTGGGAAGCCCTGTGGAAAGAAAGAAGCTGCACTTCCTGCTGCTTCGAAGCCCATGCGCGCAAGAGGCAGCGCCAGCGCGTAGGTTTGGGGAGTTTTTGGGGATATTTTGGGTCCAGGGCTCGGAGCTAAAGACCTTAAACCAATCACACCCTAAACCCTAAACCCACATGAACCCTGAAACTCTCCCACGCCAAAAAAAAAAACAAGCCCAAGGTGCGGGACGTTGCTGTTCCCTAAACCCTAAACCCTAAACCCTAAACCCTAAACCCTAAACCCTAAACCCTAAACCCTAAACCCTAAACCCTAAACCCCATCAGCCCTTAAGAAAGACAAGCCCAGGGTGCGGGACGTTGCTGTTCCCGATGGGGTTCGTGCTGGTCAGATCAGGGTTGGACCCCCGCACGAAGCCGTTCTCGACCCAGGGTTCGCCGACAAAGGCTCCGACATACCTGGGTTTGGGGTCTGGGGTTTGGGGTTTTGGGGTTTGGGGTTTGGGGTTGAGGGTTTAGGGTTTAGGGTTTAGGGTTAGGGTTTAGGGTTTAGGGTTTAGGGTTTAGGGTTTAGGGTTTAGGGTTTAGGGTTTAGGGTTTAGGGTTTAGGCTTTAGGGTTTAGGGTTTTAGGGTTTAGGGTTTAGGGTTTAGGTTTAGGGTATTGGGGTTTGGGGTTTGGGGTTTGGGGTTTGGGGTTTAGGGTTTAGGGTTTAGGGTTTAGGGTTTAGGGTTTAGGGTTTGGGGTTTGGGGTTTGGGGTTTGGGGTTTGGGGTTTGGGGTTTGGGGTTTAGGGTTTCGGGCTTGAGACGGGTTTGGGGGGTTTAGGCTATATGTTGTACGCTTGCGCCTTAAAGAGGTTAGTTAGTATAGGGCGCTAAGGTATGTGCCACACAGGTGCGAGGAATCTGGGGGTGGAAAGTAGCCCAAGGCCCCAAACCCTAACTCCAACAAGGGTTTGGGGTTTAGGGTTTAGGAATGGACCGTGGAGTTCGGCATGGCAAGTTGCAAATACTCCGCGTCCCAGCGCACTTTGACATGTGTAGCGAACTTCCCTGGAAGCACGTAGTCTGGGAAAAGAGGCTGGGCAATGTCCTTGAAGAGGGCGTCTGAGAACGGCACCTCCTCCCAAACAGACTCGTTCCTCGGCTGGACCCCCTAAAGCCTAAACCCCCAAAACCCCCCCAAACTAAAACTCCGTAGTTCTTCTTGGGGTCCTCTTCAAAACCCCTAAACCCTGAACCCTAAACCCTAAAGCCTCACAAGGGCACATGTTTTAAAAACCATCCCAACACGGCCTAGCAAGGTTCAGGTTGCCATCAATCTGGACCGACTGCCCGTCCCGGAGCCGTCGGGCAACATACTGGCTCGGATACCTCGGGTTTAGGGTTTAGGGTTTAGGGTTTAGGGTTTACGACTATCGTTTAGGAGTCAAAAGGGCACCTTTGTTTCATGAGCTTTCGTGAAGGATACTACGTAGACCCCTTCCAAAAAAACACTACCAAATCTGGGAGTCCCAGTCACGCATCCAGGAACAAGAACCCTTTCCAGCGATGGGAGGTCTGCTGCAACAGGCTCACAGAGTCGTTGGCGCTACACTTTGCCTTAGTTGCTGACTTCATAAGCCCCCAAAAAGGTGTACACTTTCAGTTCTATAGGGGGATTAGAGTATCCCAAAAAAGTGTAAAAAGCGTGCTCACTCAGCTGCTAAGTTGCATCCGAAGCCTCTGATAGGGCACGCACAGCCAGGAAGGCCGACGCAGAAATCACGAGGCTGTGGCAAAGTTGCACCATAGTTCGCAGCCGCTTCAGGCTGACTGTGTCTAATATAGGGGTTTCAACAATAGTAGTATGCCCTTAGAGTCCCTTTAAAAATATACAACAATAACTCCCAAAAACCCTAGTCTAATTAGTCGGGCCCCTACACTAAGCTTAGTGCTCCCGCACTTGCCCTGCCCCTGCTTCTAGAGATGCCCTTCACTAGCCAGCTACTTTGCCGGAGCCTGGCACTTGTGCAGTAGCCCGGGTGTGGTGATGGAAGCCCTGAGCCCTGCATGATACCATTTCACACAACGCTAGACCCTAAACCCTAAACCCTAAACCCCAAACCCTAAACCCTAAACCCTAAACCCTAAACCCTAAACCCTAAACTGAGCCGGAAAGGTCTACATGCCAGAGCGGCCGCAAAGCTAGCAGGAGACCACCCTCCCCCCTGAAGTCGATTGTAACCATATCTTGGTAGCCCAGTAACTGCATTGGAACAAGGGTAATTACTAATTACCCTTTTTGGGGTTGGTTTCTTGATAAGGGGACCTTGAACCAAAAAAAGGAAGAGGGTACCACTGGGCTATCAAGATACCATAGTATGCTATGACTACGCATCTACTGTTGGGAACAAGAGGTGGCGGAGGGTAGAGGATGGGTAAACCAAATGGCTCCGTACGACCCAAGAGGGGCTGGGCTCTCTACCCTCCTCCTTAAACCGCACACCCTGCTAAGGGTTGGGCTTTGAGGGTTTTTAGGGCTTGGCGTGATCTGATTCATAAAGGCTGAGGTAGAATGCAGAATGCCACCCTGACCTTGCAAGTTGCCGCGGAAGGAGTCTGCTTTCGGGCTTCTTCTACCCTAGGGTCGCTCAATAGGTCATAAGGGTGTCCTTTCGTAGACACCTTGAAAGAATTCCATATCAAGGGTTGCGCTAAAAGACGCTATACGTAGTTTGATAGTTTGAGCAACACCCACCTGCGTCGATAGAACGACTGCCCCAGCGTCTACAAGCCAAAAGTACAAACCACCCATCTCGCTTCAGCACCGACTGAGTCTAAGTGGTTCAGGGTTCGGGCTTCTGGCTGTTATGTTGGACCTGGTTTTGCTAGGTTTCGGATTTTAGGCTTTAGGGTTCAGGGTTTCAAGGCAAGCTGCCTAGTTAAACGGGATCGGGTGACGACTTGGAGACGTCCTCGATAGCGTCAAGTCATGCGGGCAGAGATCTGTCGTCCTAGAATCTCGGCCGCAGCCCTCCTCTCCCTATCCGGAGGTTTACGTTCATAAGGGACCCCTAATAGAGACCCGCTTACGAAAAGGACGCCAACACGGTACTCTACCCAAAACCCAAAACCCAAAACCCAAAACCCAAAACCCAAAACCCTAAACCTTTGGTCCAAAAGTCTATCGGGGTTTAGAAGCCTTCCATCTCTTGGGCTGAGGGGCGTGTCGCCGCAGTCGTCAGTGTGCTCGGCTTGCTGGTAAACACCTCGGATAACCTAAGGTTTTGGGTTTAGGGTCTATAGGGTTTAGGGAGCCCTACCTAGGACTCTCTTACCTACAGTGTTATGGGATAGTTAATATGCATATGAATAAAGGGGTAGCTACAACTAAACTGTAGGTAAGAAGGGTTTCAGGTATACCCCACAAGAAGAATCTGCGAGTTTTTGTTCAATTTCCATCAAAACCATCGAAAAAATCGTAGTTACGCTCAACCTGCATATGTCGGGAGTCAGGACGTTGCAGAAGCCTAGCTACCTAGACCTAGACAACAGTAGAGAAACTACAATTGGGGGTCTATCAACGCCCTTCTTTGGGCAAACCGAGAGCTGTTGTGGGCTTGGGAGTGTTGGGGTCGTCTACATTACAGGAAGAGGTCGATAGGGTGAAAGGGCTGAGGCGTTCAACAAGTGTTAGGGCGTGGAAAGAATGTGACGTCCCTCTCGCGCTTACGACAGTGTGCAGGCAAGATGCGGTCATGAGTCACGTTGATCGCATCATGCGTAATGCCACCGATTTGATCCGGTATATCTGCGATGCGATTGACCTCGGCTGTAGGACCTATATAGTAAGAACCCAAGACATAACGTTTTATGGCTATAAGTTGCTGTAGACCCTAACTTCCCCATCTAAAGCTAAAGGGAGTCTGCGTACTTCTGCGCATCTTCTAAATTAAATGCTAAAGCCAACCATAAGCCAAAAAAAATACAAAAACCCTCTAGCCTCTCCATTGTTTGGCATCCCTAAAACCAAAACCCTACGGGGTTTAGGGGTGATAAGTTATAATTAAGGGTCTAGGGTTCACCCGAACTCAACCCAAAAACCCTGCGTAAAACCCATACGCCTCCATTTGCCAACTCAGCTGCCAGCGACGATTTGCCGACATTGGGCCGACCGACGACGGCAACGCAGGGGCGCTGGATCCTTTGTGGCGCGTGGGCCTGATGTTACGGCTAAATCCTAAGGGCGGAACCCTAAACCCTAAACCCTAAACCCTAAACCCTAAACTTCTTTGTGAGGCTTAAGGTTGAGGGTGTAGGGCTTAGGGGTGATCTGCCCCTAAACTACACCAAAAGTTTTGAAAATTCGCGCAAGACAAGTGCCAACCCTAGTGTTTGTAGAGTGAACACCCACAAAGCTACACAGAAAGCTGCCAAAGGTCATGCATTGGGTCTTGTGTGGTGGTAGTCGGTTGGGGATGTGCAGTGCTTAGGTCTTGGGAAGGCAGATTTAAGCGAATTCGCTGCACAAAATGACTACTGCACCCCCCCTTATCACCTCATGACGCCTATTTTGGATGGATCAGCACCACTGCCCCGTTCGACCAAGATGTAGGATGAACAGAGAGCAAGCTCTAGTGCTGTGTATGAGTACGCTCCTACTGAAGGATGCTAGTAAGATGCGCCTGAACTCTATAAACCCTAAACCCTAAACCTTAAAAGGCGACTCATGGCCCGCGGCTCGGGTTGCAGATTTCTGTTCAGGGAATTGGGATGTTGGAGGGTGTTGTTGTGGGTTCTCACAGGTATTACTATGCACGTGCTTTTTCGTGTGTTTTGTCTTCCTTGTTCTTTTTTAAGGGTTTGGTTAGGATTCTTAAGGTTTTATTTGCTGGTTGGTGGTGTTCTTGGAGGGCTTTGGGTAACACTAAACCCGAAACCCTAAACCCTAAACCCTAAACCCTAAAACCCAAAACCCTAAACGTTGGGCCTCCTTTCGGGTTCAGCCTAGTAGGTCGTCGGAAATGCGTCGAGAAAAGGACCCACGAAAGCCACCCAGACCCCCCAATTGTCGATCCTTTTCGTGGGGTTTAGGGTTTAGGGTTTAGGGTTTATAGCGGTTAGGAGGCCGGTAACCTCCAAAGGCCTTAAGAGCCCTAAACCCTAAAACGCAAAATGCCCTCAACCCTCATAACCCACAGTACAGACACCCTAAGCCCGTAACCCTACACAAACCTTAAACGCAACATCCTAACCCTAAACCCTAAACCCTAAACCCTAAACCCTAAACCCTAAACCCTAAACCCTAAACCCTAAGCCTAAACCCTAAACCCTACGGCACCCTTGATCTCGCCTTCTTGTAGGCATTGATATCGGAGACCAGCCGCACGGAGGGGAGACCGGGGTAGATCTTCTCATCGTTGAAGACCTAGCTGGAAAGGAGCTGTGTTGGTGGTTCAGGGGGTTTAGGGTTTAGGGTTTAGGGTTTAGGGTTTACGGTTTTGAGGGTTGGGATTATCACCAAGCATTCCCTCCAATAATCTGAGACCTTCAGCAGCAAGGAGTGGATACAAGCTGGGGACCGCTGCGAATTTATGGCTAGTCAGGTTTAGTTAGGGTTTCGGGCCCACGAAAGTGTGTCTGTTTTTCTGGGGAGGCGGCCTCAGCCCTGAACCCTAAACCCTAAAACCTAAACACTAAACCCTAAACCCCAAACCCTAAACCCTAAACCCTAAATGCAGCCGGCGACCCAGCCGCGGCCCTCGGGCAGCCGAAGGTAGAGGCGCCGATCGTCATCGATGCCATCCACGGCCTGGAGGGGCTACTCTCAAGGGGTTTAGGGTTTAGGGTTTCGGGTTTAGGGTGTAGGGGTGCCCCAGAACACCCATCACCAGGTTCTTTCAGGTCGTGGAGCAATGCAACTTTCGCAACCTTGAATTACCCGAAGGGTCCATGCACCTGTATGGTATGTACTTGTTTCCAGGGCCCAAGCATGTCTTAGTTGCTGAGTTCAGAAGCCCCCAAACAGTGTACATTTTCAGTTCTATAGGGGATTATAGTATCCCAACAGTGTAAAGTGCGCTCACTCAGCTACTAAGATGTACGATATAGGCGCATGGACGCTTTGGGTTAGGGTTTTAGGGGTTTAGAGTTTAGGGCTTGGGGCGCAGGGGCCTTACCCAAGAACCCAAGACTGAAGTTTTAGGGTTGACGGTTTAATTAGGGTTTAGGGTCAGTGTGGGGTTTATTGTTTAGGATTTCGGGTTTGTGCCCTTGTGTGCTTCTGAAGGTTTTTGTTCTAGAAGTAATGGGAACCTTATCTCCCACCCCTACACAAAGGAATTCGGAATCAGGGGTTACTAGGTGGGCCTAGCTACAGTATGACCAAGTAAGACAAGCCAAAATGTGAACATCAGAGCCCCTCCTACGAGAAAAGCTTTCTGGGATGCGAAAGGCTGGCATCTCCATGGCAGACTTCCCACCGCACATAGACGGTTTAGGGTTTAGGGCTTGGGGTTTAGGGTTTAGGGTTTAGGGTTTAGGACTACACACAAGCGCAAGACACAGAAGGGAACAGGCCAGGCGCCTCAACGGCCACGAACCGATCACCCTGGCGCAAAATCTCACCTTGCTTGCACGAACAGAGGGTTGAGGTTCCCCTAAACCCTAAACCCTAAACCCTAAACCCTAAACCCTAAACCCTAAACCCTAAACCGGGCGGCTGCAGCTGCCCCAAGCACCCCAGCAAGCTACCCCATGCCCCCAAAAAGCCGGTTCCGACGAATAACAAAGTGGGTATTTCCCCCTTTGATACCCCAAAAAGGGTTTAAGGTTTAGGGTTTAGGGTTTAGAGGAATAGAAGCCCCTTAAAGAAACCCGAAAAAAAGGGTACCCCCTATTTTCGGAAGTGCCCAAATGAAGAGCCATCAGATTCGGGCGTTTTTGGGTTGCGGGGGGCCTCGCAGCTTCTGGCCCGAGGTTGGGTTGTAGGGCTTAGGGCTTAGGGCTTAGGGCTTAGGGCTTAGGGCTTAGGGCTTAGGGCTTAGGGCTTAGGGCTTAGGGCTTAGGGCTTAGGGCTTAGGGCTTAGGGCTTAGGGCTTAGGGCTTAGGGCTTAGGGTTTAGGGTTTAGGGTTTAGGGTTTAGGGTTTAGGGTTTAGGGTTTAGGGTTTGGGTGCTTAGGGTTTAGGGTTTAAGGGTTGCAGCTGAGGGTTCTTGCACAGAGTAGTTCGGACGTCTACCCTTCAGCCTATATTGAGATTGCAGCACATCAAGTGCGACGAGATCGCCATGAATCTGTGGTAGGCTCTGCACTCATCACGGATGGCTCTGCGCTCGGCATGCGCCGAACTTCATGCAAGTCCCAGACTAAGTACGTCTCTTTTCCACTAAGGCTTCTGTCCTTCCTCTTTCCCTAACCTTGGAAACTACATGATTTGAAGGCGACCTTGTCATAGAGCCCCCCGGAGATTCCTGCAGTCAGAAGAGCAGTGACTCCTAAGCCGACCTTTGTAGCCCCTGCAAGCCCCTGCAACCTAGCTCCGGTTCAGGGTTTAGAGATATTTGGGCTAGAGCTACGCAATTGGCCCCAGGCAACCCTAAACCCTAAACTTAAACCCTAATCCCTAATCCCTAATCCCTAAACCCTAAACCCTAAACTGCATGGCAAGCCACCGGTCCGGGGGGACCGCTCGTCCGGCAGCGTGCGGACCGCGATGCCTTCTGCGGCGACCTCGTACTCGCGCTCGTCGAGGTAATCGAGCCTCGGTGGAAACTGTAGGGTTTAGGGTTCAGGGCTGATAGATGCTTTTAGGTTTTGGGGGGCTTCAAGGCTCTAGAAGTTTTGGGTATGTGTGAACAATATTAGGCTTGTGGTTATCTTTGCGTCTTTATGTGCGTTTAGGGGGAAGTTTCAGGTCAGGTTTTTGGAGTTGGCTTCGCTAGTGCCAGTTTAGGGTTCAGGGTTTAGGGTTTCGGGTTTAGGGTACTATAGAATCCCTATTAAGGACTGTTAGTATAAGGGGGAACATGGGGGTTCGGAAGGCTCGAGGGAAGGGCATTGGCAATTTGCAGCTCTCACCCACTTTCCCCTCGACCCCTCAAAAACCGAGACACTCTCTCAAAAACCGAGACACTCTCTCATAGATGGCGCGCTCTTGGCACCAGGTCGAACCCTAAGCTTGGGATGTTCCCCCGTATACTAACAGTCCTTCATAAGGATGATACTTGGGGGGGGGGGGTACTAGAATCCCTATTGAGGACTGTTTGTATAAGGGGGAACATCCCAACCCTACCTCATAAAGAATCTCATAAGCCGGCTCCGCCAAAGAAAGGATCATGAACAACATGACTCGGCCTGAAAGGAGGAGCCACTAAACCCCAAATCCCTAAACCTCGACTTCTTCAAAACTCTAAGCCCCAACAGCCGAAACCCCAAACCCTCAACTTCTTGGAGCCCTCCGGTCCCAAGCGGAACGCCCCAAACCCTGAACCCCAAACCCTAAAACCCAAAACCCCAAACCTAAAACCCGAAACGACCTGAACTCCCTAAACCCTAAACCCCAAACACTAAAATCCCCCAAAAAAGGCACCCAAGGCGCGTCTGGCCCTCCTCCACCTCTGCCGGCGGCGCTGCTGGTCTGGCGCCCTCCCAGTCACCCCAGAAGCAAGAACCCTTAGCCCTAAAACCTTAAACCCTTAAACCAAAACCCTGAACCCTAAACCCTTAGCCCTAAACCCTAAACCCTACAACCCTCAGCCCTCAGCCCTGAGCCCTAAGCCCAAGACCCTAAGCCCTAAACCCTAGGCGAACAAGTTTTTGGGTTTTAGGGGTTGCTTGGTGCATTTTGTTTTGGTAGGTCTGTTTGCTTGGTCTTTGGGTCCTTCTCCAGGGTATACGAAGGTCTGCTTCAAGCGATGTCCAGGCTTGTTGGCTTGATTTTTTAGGGCTTTTGAAGGTTTCAGCTTTGCTGTGTTTCAGGGTAGAGCGTGTAGTATCGAAACTAAACAGTAGGAGTCCGTTGGGTTTCTAGGGTTTTAGGATGTGGAGGGTAGTGTAAAGGTTGAATGTTGTAGGCTCATGTTGTTGAGGTCAGAAGTTTCTTTAAGTACAATCACTACGGTTCCCTATGCCCTGAAGCCCCTGCACGACTAAGCACCAAAACTCGAAACACATGTTGGGGGGGTGTAGGGTTTAGGGTTTAGGGTTTAGGGTTTAGGGTTTAGGGTTTAGGGTTTAGGGTTCAGTGCTCAGGGTTTCGGGGTGCAGCGTGCTCGGAAGTCGCACTGCCAGTCTTGGCTCTAGGGTTTAGGGTTTAGGGTTTAGCGTTTAGGGTTTAGGGTTTAGGGTTTATTGTGCAGTCCATTAGCAAAAGTCACCAACAGCAAGGCCCCTAAACCCAAGACCCTGAACCCTAACCCTAAGTTAGCCCGACGCCTTGAACCCGAAACTCTTTGCCGCGCAGCCTGCAGTTGTTCACCTGGTTCCTCCTCCTCCTTCACGGGCTCCTTGCGTCACAGGGCCGGCCCTGCCCCCCAAGCACTAAACCCTCAAATCATGTAGGAGTTGGGGTTTAGGCGATGGAGGGAGGAGGAGGGAGGTGGAGGTGCCCTCCACAATTCAGCGGCCATTTATCCCAAAGACTCCTCCTTCCCAGCAACCCCCCCCCCGGACCCTTTTTTAACCCATACCACAGATATTTCGACCCCCTATAGGGTTTGGGGCTTACAAGTACTACCTACGCCAAAGCTGCACCTACCGCATCGGGCTTGGGATCAAGCCCAAAAAAATGTATCACTCCCATCTGGAAAGGTAACTTCAAGTCCTTACCAGGCCGAAACCCTGTGTGTGTATAAATAAATAAATAAATAAATAAATAAATAAATAATTAAATAAATAAATAAATAAATAAATAAATAAATAAATAAATAAATAAATAATATATATATATATACATACATATAGATAGATATATTTTCCTTTATGTGTATATCTATATCTATATCTATATCTATATATATATATATATATATTTTTTATATTTACTTGTATATACATATATATATATATATATATATATGCCAACAGAGCCTCCTATGATCCACAGAGCCTTTGTTGAAATTATCGTTGCCTGGCAAGGTGTAAGGCTAACTCACTGCGTCAAGAAAGAAACATGTTTCCAAGGCAACACCATCGATGAGGTTGTCCTCAACAAATCAACCGCATTATGCACATCAAGCTAGCATATTAGGGAGTGCGCAGTATTACACTTTCGCATCCAAATTAATAGAACTTGAGGTATAAAGGATGCGTCTCACGATTGTTTTCGAAACTAGTTCATGCAGAATCGCTTGATGCAGTTGCAGTAGATATTTTTCATCGAAGGCTTCTTGACTGGCTTCTTGGTCTTTGCAGCAGGCCTACGAAGAACAGTACCTGGCCGCACCACGCTCTTACCCTTGCCATATATAATGGATGGGTGTGACGCAGTACGAACTGCAGGTGTACGTGGAAACCAAAATTTCCTTGCTAATCTTTCAGACAGCATCAAGTCGAAATGTCTGTATTGGGTACCAGCGCACGTAGCTGCAAAAGCTTGACGCAAGAAGTCCTTGCGGAAGAAAATGGCTTGGGACCCTTCGAGCGCTTGCTCGATGCCGTAATACCACTCAACTTTGGTTCCCTTTGACCAGATATTTCTGTATCCGGGCCAGCCGATGTTGCTCCATTTTGGTAGTGATGACATCAGGCCCTGAACTTGAGCAGCAGTTTGCTGAAACCGTGCGTCTGCTTCTAAAAATCAAACCCATCCGACTTCAGAATGTCGTTGGTCAGACCGATAGCGTTGTAGTAATTGATAGCATCTCAGGGTCAAAATGCTTATCCAAATTCGTTTGTAGGACATAAACGAACGAAAGTACTATAAAACAAAAAAAGTATACAAAAAAAAAACAAACTTACTTGAAACTGCTTGCGCAGCCTCGTAAACCATCGGTGCCGTACAGAGTAATGCACGATCTCATTGGGCTGCAGCTTCTTGCCCATGTGCTCGTCAGTGCCATATCGATATCCATAAATAACATGGACTTTGTTAGCGCCCATACCTTTTAATTCTTGGAGAAGTGGGTTATGCACGCCATGGTTGTCGGCATGCGACAATATGAGGAAGAGTGCGTTGCTAAGCTTGGCCGGTGTCTCAGGCAACACGAGCTTGGCTTCATCGACGTGCTTCGCTTTGCAACGTTCCAGCGTCTTTCGTTTAGACTCATCAGTACTGCACCACCAGGACAAATTGCAGGAACATTTGTGCCATGCCATCTCAGATAGCCTCTACACCTAAAATTGTTGTAAGCACAAGACATCTTTTCATAATATGTTTTGCAATTAACACGTAACGTGACCTATGAATGAATCTCGCTCAACAAACTTCATTTGTTTATACAGTGACGGTATACATGAATGTTGTCCTTTACTTCTGTGCATGTAGTACGAACACATGGATTTCATCATTATGCGCCAGGTAGCAGCATAAACGTGTTTTCAAATTTGTTTATAAGCTTCACGATCATGAACTACGACAACTGTCCGCATGTGTTGTAGAGTATACAGGTACAGTTGGGAGCATGTTTTTGCCGTTTAGGGTTTTTTTGAGCGACCCTAAGCCCTATTTTCAAGTTGAAGCACTCATTTCCGAAACTTGCGGTGTTGAGTGAATTAAGCATGATTGTGTTGGGCGCACGTGTTTTGTATATTGCACAGGTACAATTGGGAGCATGTTTTTGCCGTCTGGTGTCTTTTGAGCGACCCTAAACCCTAAATTTCAAGTTGAAGCACTCATTTCCGAAACTTGCGGTACTGAGCGAGTTAAATATGATTGTATTTGGCGCGCATGGTTTGTTTAGTGTACAGGCACACTTGGAAGCATGTTTTTGAACGCTTGAGGTCTTTTGAGCGACCCTAAACCCTAGATTTCAAGTTGAAGCACTCATTTCCGAAACTTGCGGTGTTGAATGAAGTAAACATGATTGTGTTTGGCGCGCACGTTTTGTATAAGTACAGGCACACTTGGAAGCATGTTTTTGCCGTTTGAGGTCTTTTGAGCGACCCTAAACCCTAAATTTCAAGTTGAAGCACTCATTTCCGAAACTTGCGGTGTTGAATGAAGTAAAAATGATTGTATTTGGCGCGCATGTTTTGTATAAGTACAGGCACACTTGGAAGCATGTTTTTGCCGCTTGAGGTCTTTTGAGCGACCCTAAATCCTAAATTTCAAGTTGAAGCACTCATTTCCGAAACTTGCGGTGTTGAATAAAGTAAACATGATTGTATTTGCCGCGCATATTTTGTGTAGTGTACAGGTACAATTGAGAGTATATTTTTGCCGTTTGGGGTCTTTTGAGCGACCCTAAACCCTAAATTTGAAGTTGAACACTGATTTCCGAACCTTGCGGCGCTGCATGAACTGAACGATTGTTGTTTGGCCCGCATGATTTGTACAGCGTACAGGTACAATTGGGAGCATGGTTTTGCTGCTTGGGTCTTTTAAGCAACCCTAAGCCCTAACTTTCAAGTTGAAAGACTGATTTCCGAAATTTGCGGGTGCTGAATGAGCTTGACTGCAGTGTTCGAGATTTCCAGATATATCAAGAAATTATAAATCTCATCTGACATATCGTAAAAATTACTACCGTCACAAACATTACCGGAACAAATCGTACAAATCAAGGCGGCTAGCTTGGGTTACAACTTTGCTGAAACCTTGATTACTAGTTATTGCGGTCACTGTCAACTTTAGCCAGCAGACACAGACACACAATGCCGGAACAAATCGTACAAGTCACTGTCGTCCACAAAAATTGCCGGAACAAAATGCCGGAACAAATCGTACAAGTCACTGCCGTCCACAAATATTGCCGGAATAAATCGTACAAATCAATATGGCTAGCTTGAGTTACAACATTGTTGAAATCTTGATTACTGGATACTGCGGCCCTTCTCAACTTTAGCCAGCCGACCCCGACGCACAATGCCGGAACAAATCGTACAAGTCGCTGCCGTCCACAAACATTGCCGGAACAAATCGTACAAATCCCTGCTGCCTTCACTAGCAATATCACCTGAACAACTTGTACAATCTCTGCTGCCCACGCACGCTCTACAAGCCACTTCCAAGGAAGCAGTTTGCAGCCCCCTAAGCCCTTCTATAAGGTTGCAGGTTCCCGTTCAACCTTCCCTGCAAATCTTTTTGGCAACAGCTGGGAGGGCCTCCAAGGAAGCAGTTTGCAGCTTCTGCAGCTCCCTAAACCCTTCTTTATGTCGGCAGGTTCCCTTACACTCGGTTATGCTTCTCCTGCAAGGAATTTCCAGGAAGAAGTTTGCAGCTCCTAAAACCATTCCGCACGTCTGCAGGGTCCCCCGAAACCTTCCCTGCAGATATGCCTGCAGGCTCCAAAAGCGGCTCTGTTTCCCCAAATTTGTACCCCTCAACCCTCAACCCTCACAACCCTCACAACCCTCACAACCCTCAACCCTCAACCCTCAACCACAAACCCTACCCTTAGAGATGTAGTCTTGGGGCTTCTGCTTAGTGCCACGATAAGGAAGCAGCTGCAGCGAGCGGCAAAGATCCGTGCGGCAGCGGCTCCGACGCATTCATAGGCTCAGCCGCTCGAAATTTCGACTGCAGTATGCCCTGAACTCTAAGCCCTAAACCCTAGACCCTAAACCCTAAACCCTAAGCCCTAAGCCTTAAACCCTAAACCCTAAACCCCAAACCCTAAACCCTAAACCCTAAACCCTAAACCCTAAACCCTAAACCCTACACGTTACACGTTTAGATCCTAAGCCTCTGCAGGTGGTGGTTGGGAAAGTAAGAGAAAACGCAGTGGAGAGTCCAGCACAGCCAATTGCCCCTTCAATGCTGGCTCCATGTTACTGGTACCAAAATCCGAAACTGGGGGGAGCCCAAGCATCGAAAATCTAGGGTTAGGGTTTAGGGTGTAGGGTTTAGGGCATAGGGTTTAGGGTTAGGGTCGGGGTTTGGTTGGGGCCCCTCTTCCTGTTTGTGGTTCCTCACAAGCCTCCTTGAGCAAAAAGGGGGTACCCTCTTTGTATTCCAGAGCCGCAGTGCATGAAGTCCTCATGGTCCAGACCGTCGACCTCTCATTCAAACCTCCCTTATCCCTACATATACAAAGGAACAAATTGTATAAATCCCTGCTGCCAGCATTTGACAGGTGTGCTTCCGTCATTGCCCCAGAGTTCGCGCATTCTCTCCGCTGTAGGAACGGAGGTTACGGCACATGTAGGCTGACAGAACTTGTACGTTGCAGCAACGATACATGCACTCTTGTGAAACCGCCGGGACAAGCAAGATCTTTCTTTTGGCACGTTTCGCCTGAGCTTTCTCCCCAACTCCCCAAACACATATTGAAAGAGTATGGTCAGCGCGACCAGGGCATAGCCTATCTTTCTGCATAATGATAGGCCGGCGCCTCACCCACAGACCCAGTACACATCCCTACTCAGACTCAGACTGACCATAGTACAGCTGTTTCGCGTACTGAAACTGGCCAGATCGTCTGACGATGACGAAGAAAATGGATGTGGCCGCACGCACAAATGTTTAAACACATGAACTCACTGCACATCTGTCGAACCTGATCCAAGAGCTTGCGCTCTTGTTCACTACGGCTCTTCAAAGCTTCGAAGTTCTCGTCATGCCGAAGGTCCTCGAACTCAACATCATCATCGTCCGAGTCGCTTAGAATCAAAATGGGAGACTGCAAGACTAGCTCGACACAAGTCGTAGCCGTGGGCAGTACAGATGGAAACAAGAACTCAAGCACTTGCGCCGAGCAGGAAGATGGTAGTGAAAGATAAGGCACTGTCATCCAGACTTTGATGTCCTGGCGCTGCGCGTCATGAAGTTCGATTTCTTGTAGCAGAACTCGGAGCCATGCTAAGGTCTCTTGGCGAGTTTGTTGAATGGCCAGCAACGGTTGCGCGAAGTAGTTGCGCTCAGCAGCACGGATGCTAATGGGAAGCATGTTCCACACGAGCTGGGCTTCTTGCGCTATCACGGCAGGAACATCAACGGGTCGGCTCCAAAACATATGAGCGTACATCTGCATGGCAGCTGCCGCAAGGAGAACAATCTACTACAGCAGCAAACACTAAAATAGTGTTTGGGACATGTGCGGCTTTGGCGAATTGACGGAGAAAGTCTTGAAATCGCAACTTCAAGAGGTCAGCAGGCATGAAGACTGCAACAAGCAGCCATGCAGAAAGCTCTTTTTCGGCTTTATGGGTACTGCGGTACAGAGTTCTCGCAAGCAGCATCGAACGACTGTACAGTTGAACTTGCTTGCCAAACTAACAAAATGTGGTAATCATCAGCCAGTTGCGAAGCTCAGCTTTTCATGGCTGGAACCAGGTGCAACAGAGTGTATATACAGACAGAAACTGCACGCTGCATGAGCAATCTCGAACAGCTGTACGACGCCGAGCTTGCTCAGTCATGGCTTCAGAGCCTGCGTGCCTCGCACGCAGCTCGAACAATGTCGCCAACAGCAGCGAACTTGTCCTGCTCGGCATGCCAATGATGCCATTGAAATTCACGCACCCGCTCATCAATGTTCCCTTCATCCGCTTTCGTTGACTTCGGAACCCCGATCAACTTCAATTGCCGCCACACATTGTCTATGAGTTGGGTTCCCTTTTTCACCCATACCGTGTTCGTTTGGTCTTTGGGCAAACCCTTGACATGTGCTTTCCTGTAATCTCGAGGAAGGCGGTGTTTCCATGTAGCGGCATAGATGGGGTTCGGACGCTTGTGTCTCACCGAATCGGTGATCACGCCAGGTATCTGCACGTACCTGTACGCTCGTGCACCGTCACAGTGCAGCAGGATTTTCCGATTCTTGAGATAACGGAACCCTATTTGCTTCCATTCTTTTTTGGATATGGGTCCCGGAGACACAGCAGAGCCCTTGCCCTTCCCCTTCAGCTTGACAGACGTTGACTTCACTCGCATTTTGACAAGGGTGAGGCTCTTACGGTTGCCGCGCTCGAGCAGACCACAATACTGGAACCAGGTCACTTGTTTGCCTGATTTCTTTCCACGAACTGTGACCTCGTCGACTTCAGCTTGAACCCAAGTTCGAAGATTGCCGAAGAGCCGAGCTTCTTGTTGTCGTTGAACATAAGCCATTACAGCTCTTCTCCATCTGGCAGACAGAGTTTGCACCGCCCTTGCTCCAAGGCCCGTCAGCACATGAATCTTGCCAGTGTCCACTCTAGTCACATTGCAGAAAAGA